AAACGCTGCCGTTTTAGGGGCCAAAGCAAATGGGCTGAGCCAAAGTGTAAAACTGTTCATAATGTGCAATTCTGTTTGGGAAAACGTGAACGCTGCATCATTTAACATGGTAGTAGAAGAGTCCCTGTGCTGAAGTGGCCTGCCTCGGGGCAGGATTTCACTTTCATCAGACGGTGACGTCGCTGTGGCTTCATCCATCCTTTATGTACAGTAATAATCTGTGCTTTTCCTGTCATTTCATTAACAAAAGTGTGTTAATTAATAGAAAAAAGTCACAAAAACCCCTGAAATGCTGGTGACTTTCCCTGGTCAGGGAGAAGATTGTTAAAAATCGCTTCTGCAGTGGCCTCAAAAGTATTTGCAATGTTAAACAATCAACAAACTTCCTGAGCTTTGTTGACCTTTCTTTTTTACAGGATGAATTTTTAAGAACTTGCCATTAAAAAACAAAAAAACGTACCATACCGTATATTTTTTACTACTGGCCACATAGAGGCACAATCGAGACCTGCTCTTTGTTCTCAAGAAACCATCTAGATTCATTAAATTTGTCTTTTTGCAAGGTAGTTTTGAGAGACGAACACTTCAGAGCAACACTCAAGACTGAAAACCTAAAACCTTCAGCAGGACACGGCTGCTCTCTTTACATAGAAAACTCATCACTATGTTGCAGTTTGACAACCTTGTTTGAGCATCTTGGATTTTGGAAAGATCCACAACTACAAGAAACTACAGAGCAGGATTTGTGATTTTTTTTTTTCCTCAAATTTTCTTATTGGTCTTTCATCCGTGTGGACACATCTCCCATGTCACAGGAGATGTGTCTGAAGTCCTGAGAGTTACTGCTCTGCCTGGACTCCGTTCTCATTTTTCTCTCACGTGTGCGTTTATAAGTAAACATTCCCTTTCTTCTTTCCAGATGTGCTGTGATCACAGAGTTTGCGAGAGAGCTGCTGGCTCAGCGAGGGGTGAAGGTGGTGGTGCCAGGCGAACAGGAGAGGGTGGTGGTCTCTCTGTCAGAGGAGACAAACGAGGCCGAGGCACAGACGGAGGAGAAAAACGGATCAGAGGAGCCAGCTGTAAAGGCAGCTGCGGGGGAGAAATGTGAGGTATGTAAGAGTGATTTATTTATGTATTTTTTAGTGCAGTTGCACACCAACAGGCTTTTATTGCTATGTATGAATACAAATGCAGGATTTTAATGGTACGTGTATCCAGCTTCTAGTTTAGAAGATTTTGTTCATGCTTACGATCCAGAACCTGATTTATTCACGTGTGGAAGTTAAATTAAATACCATCTGAAAACATTTGGCTCCAATAAAATGACCTGTTGACCTGTAACATCACTCCTCACACAGGAAATGACATTAAAGACTTTAGGATGATAATGAACATGAACAAGGCAGAACAAGTGGTGTACTTGTATTTCTATGTGAATAGTTCTGTATCTAAAAGCCAGGTATTATTACTGCCCAGAGGGACCTCCCATGCTAAAATCATATGCACTGGTTCCAGTGGAAAATCCTTCATAAAGGCCAATTTCACACTTTGGGGGCCACAAGTGGTTGAGAGGCAATTGGATCATTTTCAAGAAACTTCAAAACATGTCATGAAGTTGAAATAATCTCATTAGTGTCATTAGACTGAAGGTTTTTGTCTTTGTTTTGTTAATTAGAACAGTTGCTGTTGATCCCAGCTTTCCCTGAATACAGCTCTCACATTTTTTAATTAGTTTCAGTTTCACTTTGAGTTGATTAATTCTCAATAAGGAAGGAAAAACCTGAGAGCAGCGACCAGCTTCAAAATGAAAATGTTTTTTTGAGGGAATATGTACACAGAGGGAGCAACGTTTTCACATTTTCTGTTCCAGCAGTTGTGAATCGACCTGGGAAAAATAAAGAGTTGTTCCACATAAGTAAACATAAAATCCTCCTCAGCACTGTTTCTGTGTCTTCCAGTCAGTCTTTGCATTCTTTTGCAGAGTCGATGATCAATCATGAGCTCGGTGAAGAATGTTGTTGTTAAAGAGTTGGATTCTTTTTTTTTATTGTTATTATCGAGTTATTGGAGACCAAAATGAAGCGAAATGAGAGTAAATGTAGTTGTAACTGTAAACTTGCTCTATTTTTTAGCATTCTTATAGAAGTGTATTGTGAGGTGAGACACAGATATTGGATGAGAAGCCCTGGCTAACAGTCTCCACTCTAATTCATCCCGAAGGTGTTCTGTCGAGTTGAGGTCAGGATTCTGTGAAAGCCAGTCAAGTTATTCCACACCAAACTCGCTCATCTATGTCTTTATGGACTTTGCTTTGTGCACTGATGTGCAGTCATGCTGGAACAGGAAGGGGCCATCCCCAAACTGTTCCCACAAATTTGCTTGTTTTTATACACCTGTGGCCATGGAAGTGATAGGAACCCCTGAATTATATCAGAGACTACTACACCATATATCTGGAAGATGTGGTGTATATTCAAAAATGTAAAGCAACTCTTTGATTAAAGAGCTCGTAATTTTTGGTCAGCAATGTGTAATTTTCGTTTTCAGGACTTGTTTCTGTTGCTGCCAAGAGGCCAAAAAGTGCGTGTGTGTGTCTTTGTGGAACGTTAAGTGTGTTTCCCCAAACTTTTTGTGTCAGCGTGGTCTGCGTGTCCTGGAGGGCCTAGCAGCATCTGGTTTGCGCTCGGTGCGTTTTGCTCTGGAGGTCCCAGGCCTGCAGAGCGTCACTGCCAACGACTTCTCTGCTAAGGCGGCGGCTCTGATCGCCAGGAATGCCCAGTACAACGGAGTGAGCCACCTGCTCCAGGCCAGCTGCAGAGATGCCAGGTATGACTAGTCAGCATGTTCTGCTGCTTTACTTCCCACTTTGATCAGCTCCACTGTTCAGTACCATCTTCTTTCCCCCCATACTTTTCTTGTTTCATTGTTCTTCACTTTTTACCTTTGACCTCCCGTTCACATTTCTCATGAGCATCTTTTTTTGTTGCTTT